ACCCAAACCATGATGTTTTCCTAAACCTAATGAAGTAGTTGTGATGCCTAAATCTAACCAACCTGAGACTGTTGTATAACGCCTGACTATTGTTACCATGAAGACGAAGATCACCTGACTTTGTCCTCCTCCACGTCCTAAAATGCAGCAGCTCTAAGAACTGTAAATGACACATGGAAGCTTAAAATGCGCAAAATGGTTATTTTGTAATCATTATAATTAGTTTTGCAGGGAATTTGGTCATAAATAACAGTATTGGTGAAATTACAGTATGATTATGCTAGATGAAGACAATGCAAAGCACAATGCTAGAAGTTATTTCAGTTCATCCTGAGGGGAACATTGTTTGACCCAAGTTTCATGGCAGTCCATCCAATAGTTGTTTAGATATTTCACTCAAAACCAAAAAACTTCAACTTCATAATGATGCTAGAGAAAAGTCAGGGTATCACCAAAGTCAAAAGGGGATCATGAATGTCTGTAACAAATTTTGTGGCAATCTATTCAATAGATATTTCACTGGATAAGTGACCTATCGACCTTCCTTTGCAGAGCTTTCTTTAAGAAACTTTTATACATTCATACTTAACATTTAATAAGGATTTTGCTGTATACATGAACTCACTAAAGGTTAAAAACTATTTCACCGATACAATAAAACACAAAGTTTTATAAAGTTAATGTGAAAATCTGTTTTTCCCTGTTTACTTCCACAATTTGTTGTACTACTGTTGGTAGACCAAAAATGTATTTTACTGTGCCCAATTGTTGAAATGTTTGTCTTCTTATTTTGTCAGCACTTTGTTATTGTTGCAACTCAAATTATCAACATTGGAGCTGTATTATATAAGTGCTGTGTGATGTAGCGTAAGTATCTGAAATGCACTTTACCTCTGCATGCCAGGTCTTTATAGTCTCCTTTTAGGTATTCCTTTCTGTCAGTTTAATGTCATCTTAAAGTCACTGGTGATGATTAAGATAAGAGTAAGTGAGCTTTTGTTTTGTTTTACATTCCTCCTGCAGCGAGAGGCCGCCTCGCAAACCCGACCTGAGGTGAATACAGAGTGACGTTTTAATTAAAAACACAAGGATGTGCTCTGTCTGTCCTTTTCCTTTTTATTTGAATATTTTTATTCTTCTACGGGAGTTTGATCTTTACTCTGCCTACCTACCTACCTACCTTCCTACCTACCTACCCGCCCACCCAACGACGGTCTGACTCTGAGCAACAAACCAAACAGCTTACTTCTTGCTGTTGATCATTTGAAGCGTGGGAGCAGCAGAATCTTTGGTCTTTCTCGTAAAACCATCAGCAGCTTCTGCTTCAGCTGTTGTTGGCCAAGCTGAAACCTGCAGCCACCAAACAGTTTGTGTCACGAACAAGACACAAAGCAATGAGTCTATGACCCTGAATTTTCTCTGAAGCCTTTTGTATGGTGCGGTGTTGGATTTGAAACAGCATGAAATTAATCAGTTAGACGAATACTAAGAGTAAACATAATTTTTGAATTATATTTCCAAATTATCCTCAGATCTCATTTTGTGGAACAGAATTCCATTATTAAATCACTATATATTTCTAATAAAGAAACTTGCAGTAAGAAGTGTTTAGTTATGTTATTAACAGGTTTCTTATTGTATTCAAGGTGCCATTCTTACTGACATGAATCATCCACACATTTGGGGATTAGTAACAAAATAGTACGGAGGCCCAAACAATGTCTAATCTTAATCTTAGTTATTATCTTCTGCATCCAAGATAATAACTTAGTAATAAAGTAATATTTCTGCAATCCGGAATATATTGAAATGTCAATATATTGGCATATTAACTAAGTAGTCTTGATGCAAAGTGAGATCTGCAATTTGTTCATCTTTAGTATTTCTACAGTATTATTCTGGCCAAATTCTTATCGGTCCCTTTTTTTCATGCTGATCCTGATTCAGCGCTGCACCTCTCTGGCTGAGCCTCACTGTCTACAAAGATGGCAGACACTGCAACAACAATATAAAGCTTCTGGAGGTCTGACTGCCATCAGATCCAGGTCAAACAGTATTTACACATGCTTTTTAAGGTTTGTTTTAGACTGGCCGGGCATCACTGACATGGAGTTTGCCATGTAGGACAGTATGAGTTACAGAATGTTTGAAAGATCACATAAGCTTTTGGTGTCGGATTTCGTCAAAATCTCAGTGATCAAACCTCTGACACTGTCTAAACTGCCCTGATGCAGTAAACTCCACGGACCTTGTTCTTCATGCAAAATGAACCAAACTTAAATTTACTTGCAAATACTATTTGACCAGTTGTGTCTGCCATAGCAGAGTCTTGACCTGAAACCTTGACATTTTGATGTTTAGCTAAGATTAGTAATAAAGAGGCAAGATCTCTGTTTAAACCAACTTTCCAACATGGTGGAAAGCCCTTTTGTATCTGTATCTTGTATTTGTCTGGATCTCTGTCTGATGAGAAGATAGGTTTCATCTCTGTGCGTCCAGTACAAAGTGAGGTGAAGGACGAGTTTAGCCTAGCTTAGTTTTCACCTGCTTACAAAGACTTGAAGCAGTTGAAAACTGCAAAAGAGAAAATGTAGACCTTCCAATAACCCCAAAGCTGTCTGACTTTCATGTTGTATCTTGTTGGATAGGAAGCTAATTTTACATGTTGGTAGGTTTGACTGGATGGACATCACTCAGGCGTTTCTGAAACACATGAGAAATGACATTTAACCTCACCATGGTTGGTAAGGTATTAGTTTAGATCAGGCAAATGTAAAGTATCAAACACATATTACCTTGACTAGGATCGCTTCCATGTAACACCCATACAAATCATCCCTCCAGTTAAGGGTGAGGAAGAGGTCCGTGTACTCTGGATGATCTTCATTTTACACACTTTATATTGTCTTTAATTGAATTCCATGTCCTTGAATTGAGCATGTAGTTTTTTGTTGTTGCTTTACACCTGATGTATTCTTTTTCCCCAAACTACGATTTTCTACCGTCCAGTGAGTTTGTATTTTCAGTATTTTTAATATTCTTGATATGACGGTCCTACATAACCAGCTAGCCAATGTTAGCTACACCAATGACTTGCTAATGTTAGGACAGAGCTCAAACTTGTAACCCCAGTATGAGGACAGACCTTTTGAGATGCTGTGTCCAGTTACTGCCCTGAGCAATTGTTATTTAAAAAAAAAAAGCTCCAATGCTAACTGCTGCTAAAACCACAATGTTTTATTTTCACTTTACTACTTGTACACCAGCTGAACAAAACAAACACACAAAACCAGATGCAAGTAAATGGGACAGTATATTTTTGTATCTTTTGAAGGAGTCAGGCTTTCCGATGCTTCCACTCATTGTGCTAAACAAGGGTAAACATATGCTGGACCTTTTCCTGTACCAGATGCACAGAGATAAAATTGATGTAAATTTTCTCATTTGACCATGGGTGAGACAGAGTTTTGCTTTTACAGGAAATGGAAGGGACTGGAAGCTGTTCTAGCCTGAGAACGGGGGCAGGACCATGGACAAGAAAAACTCAAATACATTAAAAATGTCAAGGTTTTCATGCAAAAATCAGGCATTAGAAAAGCTCAGTAATAACGTAGTACATGGTTAATGTCCAGGTTAAGTCTTGGTTTTAATATTGGAAGAGGCTTCTTGCACTGCAAAAAAGTGTTCATCTTATCAAGTATGTGTATCAAGTACATGTTTATTATTAAAATGAGATCAAAAACTACCAATATGCCATGAGATGCCATGATGCCATGGGATTTCTCATGCAGTTTAAATGTCTTGAAATGCAGTAAGAAAGACATAATTTGAAAATGTGAACAGTGGTTTTAAAAACTATATTGAAAATTAAAGTAGATGATACTAAGTTTGGAGGGCAATTATTTCACTCCACATATACAAAGTCTCAAATTAACTAGGAATAACTTGCTAAGATGGACAGAAATTCTGCAACAGTTTGGCCTTACTGCTCATTTTCCTACAGTGCACTAGGTTGATTTTAATAAAGGAAGTAGGAAAGAGGCTGAAAGTCTGCGTTTACACTGAGCTGATAGTGTAAATAAAACTGTCTAAATCTGTTTTCCACTGCAGCTGGTTCCCTAGAGGAACAAAAAGGTCTATATTTGCTGAATGGCTCGTCAAACACTTGCACATTTCAATCAGCTTCCTTTGGAGGCATTTGTGAGGGTGGTTCTGATAGAGACAAAATATCAGTAATCATTCATTTTATGCAGAGCTCATCTGAAGCTCTCTAAAGAACAATTCTTATCTGGTCTTTTTTCTGTAGACATTTTTACAACGACATCAAGAAACACTTGCAGTTAGATGATCTCACTTAAATATTTTAGGTATTTCCACACCAAGTTTACATTTATGTGCAAGATATTTATACAAACACAAGTAAGTACTTACCAAATTCTTGTTTTTCTGTTGCTTCTTGCAAACCAATTAAGCATTTTCATACAATGGAAAGATTTTAGTTGTCTTTGACTGGAGGAACTCAATAAATTTTTTTATTCTTTTGTTAAGAGACATGAAAAAATGCTTTTTCAATGTTTTGTATTGCTGCTGCCCAGGGCATGGAAATTAAATGTAACACAAAAGTGTACAATTCTATCTCAAATTTGCTATAGAATTTTCCTTTTGCAAAATGTATGCACACAAATTTGTTGCATTTTTGCATTGGAACTTCAGTTCAGATCTATTGTGTAACTGCTTTTACCTCCAAGATAAATTTGCTTGTTTACAACCAGTCCGATTGTCTGACTGCTTGTGTTTCTTGACCTGTCAGATAAATGGCCTTTAAAGGTTTTCATTGCAGGTAAATGAGGATGTTTTGCATTACCCACAAACTTGAATTAAAAGAGCTAAAATGCTCTTCAAAACATTGTGAAGTGCAAGTGGATGAAGCTGACCTCCTCCTTAGACAAGAAGACTGGGTTAACCTCCATGTCTCTATCTCCTCCTCGTCGTCTGTGTAGCTCCCAGCTGGCGATGAAGTATCTGGATCCAGCTTTCACTCCTCTGACCAACTCTCTCAGCGAGGACCTGCAGAACTCCTCTAAATGGAGCTACAACAGCACTGCTTTTATACAGCTGAAGTAGGTTACACACACACACACACACACACACAAACACACACACCAACCACACAACACACAACACACACACCACACACTCAGCTTTTTGGAGTCCTAAAAAGTTTCTGCATGTTTAGTCATTTAAGGCAGTGAGCAATCAGTGGTAAAATGCTTATTTTAAAACTGCACACTTTGTTTTTAATTGTCTTTTTAATTAGAAGACCTACACTCGATAATTTAGGGTCTTTAGTTTCTTTATTTAATACATCACTTTATTTTCAGTTTTCTGGACTGTATTTATTGTTTTTCCTAATTAAAACTGTTTTCTTCTGTGTTTGTCTTCAAATCAACCAGGATGATTTCCCCCTTTTATATTAGTTTATATATATATTTAATATTTTTTTTATTTAATATATTTTATAGATAGTCTATCGATTACGAATATCCTATCGATAGAGGGAGATCTATATTTTTTTAGATATATCGATAGAGAGAGAGATTATTCGATAGAGAGAGAGATAATATAGTCGATAGAGGAGAGATATATCAGGCTTTTTTGTTTTTTTATCGATAGAGAGAGAGCGTATATCGATAGAGAGAGAGTGCGAGATATCGATAGATTTTTTTTTTTCTATGTTTGTTTGATATCGATAGAGGAGGAGATCGAGATTATCGATAGAGAGGTGGATCGAGATATCGATAGAGAGAGATCGATATCTATATATAACTCATTCAGTTCATTTGACATCCTTTTTCTAATATGCATCAAAGTCTGGCAAGTGAGGCAAGTGCAGGAGGCCAATCTCATGTCCTAAAAGGACTGGTGTGTAGGATTAAGTGGCATCTAGTGGTCAACTTGCATATTGCAACTAACTGAATACCGCTTGTGTCTGTATTTGACGACCTGGGAATGAGAACGGGCTGTGCAGAGAACATATATATATTATATATAAACATATAGAAAAATCATATTCCATTTGTGCCAATAGATCTTCCTAAATGTTACACACTAGACCTTTAAGGGCAAGTCCAAGACGAGTCTCTAGTCAGTCAAGACAACTTAAATTGAAAACTCAAAAACAGTCAACTAACTTATCAAATCAAGTCTTAAGTCAAGTCTGATGTCCCTGAGAACAACTCTGTCAGGTCTCAAATCAAGCATTTTTAAGTCTAATGTCCGGGAGTCTAAGTCCAAGACAAGTCTTGTCTATTGCTGTCTTAAATATTTTTTCATTATTGCAGGTCAGAACGTGAGGCTTGAATGTATTTGCTTTCAATATTTTTCAAATCCTCAGTGTCAAAGTTTCACAGTCTCAGTCCAAGTCAAGTGGAATCCCTGGTAGAAGCAAGTAGTTTCTGTGCAACCAGAGGTCTGAGATCACATTTAGATAAACTGATCATCAATTGAGAGGAAGCACCAGTAAATTAATGCTTACTTTGATACTGATATATTTTAACCAAAGGTTAAAAAAATCAAAGCAGCAATAACACAAGAGAACAGTCTGCTCCTCCATCATCCACAAACATAAATCTGCTTACGAATCATGTTTAATGCAGACTGAGAATTATATACATTACATCTGAGTCATTGCCATCATAATCATTGTTTCTGCTGATTACTGGGTTTAAAGCCCTCAAAGTTTTTTTCCTTTAACCCATTGTTTGCATTTTGTTGTGGTCACTGTGCCAACTGTCTCATCAAGAGTTGTGACTGTACCACATAATGAGCAGAGCTATAAAATCAGCCAGAATTCCTCACAGCCACGCTTCAAAAAATTCACTGTATTTCTATGGCTCAGTAGTTCTCCCTGTCATTCTACAATACAATACATTGTTTAATGTCACTTCACACAAATTAAGACAAAAAAGATTTTCTTCCTTCCCTCCGGTGGCATCTTTTAATGCAGATAGTTCTGGTTTTATTGGTTTAGAAGTAAGTAAAAGTAATTTTGAACTGGCTCTTTAACTTTTCAATTTATTAACTTAAAATGGCTTCCATACTGAACAAGCATATGTAATAAGCATGTCAATGCACTGTTACTGCAACGTACTACAAGGAGTTTTTAACTGGTTATGAAACAGTCTCAATTTAATACTGTCTCTATATGACCTACATAAATAAAAACGACAATCAGAGAGAAGATTGGCTATTTCTATATAATTCGTCTTAATGCCTACCACTGGGTTGGATTCAGTCAGATTCCCCTCAAAATCAATAAAATTAAGGGGTAGAAACAATACTGCTTTTGTCCATAGATGCCGCCAGAATCAACACAGAATACAGAAACTTGTAGGGGCTTTGAGTATGCAAATGTCGAATAGTGCTATGTTTCAACATAGGTATCCCAAAACAAGTTTTACAATTTTTCCCCTGTCACATTTAAAACTGCAGGAGGTGGACATATTAACAGCAGCATCCGTAGTATAACCTGTTGGTTTTCATGTATTTAATGTTGGAAGGTTCATGGTTCTCAGCCCCTGTAGATTTCCTAGTGCTGAACGATGTATATGTACTATGAAAAAGCTTCAAAACAAAGTACAGATATTATTTAATCTAACTTGTAGATTCTTACAGTGAGGATGCAGTAATGAACAAAAATGTCTTTGTCTTGTAGAAAGGAGATCTCTCAGTACATCGACATCCCTCACAACTTCACACTGACACGAGGCTCAGTCCGAATCGGACAGCTCATGCACTATGACTACTCCAGCCACAAATACGTCTTCTCTATTGGCGAGAACTTCCGCTCACTCCTCCCTGAGGCTTCGCCGATCATCAACAAGCACTACAATGTCTGTGCCGTGGTTGGCAACAGTGGGATCCTCACCGGCTCACGCTGTGGCGCTCAGATCGAGAAGTTTGACTTTGTCTTCCGCTGCAATTTCGCGCCGACTGAGATCTTTAAGAAGGACGTTGGGCGACGGACCAACATGACAACCTTTAACCCTAGTATCCTGGAGAAATACTACAATAATTTACTGACTGTTCAGGACAGGAACAACTTCTTCTTGAGCCTAAAGAAGCTGGACGGAGCCATCCTGTGGATCCCAGCATTTTTCTTCCACACGTCAGCCACAGTGACGAGGACACTGGTTGATTTCTTCGTGGAACATCGAGGCCAGCTGAAGGTCCAGCTGGCCTGGCCCGGAAACATCATGCAGTATGTCAACAGGTAAGAAACACTGTAATGCTACATTATGTTCACAACAAAGACCCCACATCCATCTGTATGTGGTGATCTGTATATGGATACGCTATCTGGAACACAAGCCTTTGCATTTACACCTGGTATTAATAATTGTTCTTGTTATCTTCATTTGAGCTGCACCGTGATCAGATCTCAGTATGCAAATTAGGTTAAAAGACGTTTAAAATAGGATAAAAGGCCAAAGTTTTTTCGCCGACTACTTGAAGACGTATATTAAACTTTGACATTTAGACCATATTTCATTTTGATTTGCAATAGTGACACCTCTCATCCTCGGCAATTTGCAAGCAATAACCTATTGTCACTTTGGAGCTTACCTAACCCTAACCCTAAATTTCCCAGTTAAAAGCCAGTATAAGTATAAAAACTTGCCTCACATGAGACCCCAGTCTCCTAAAGGAACGTCCCTATTAACCCACCCATCCACCACATCTTCCTGCCAAGATGGACATTTTTTTGTTTTTTATACTTCATCACCTAATGCCTTTCTGCCAGGACAGGGATTTCTGGCAGACAGATTGACCTGGTGCATATACCATTAGAGTATTCGAAGCTGTAACCAATATGCCTAAGTGCTCTGTGGTTGCACATGCGCTTTACAGCAGTAAGCACAGTTTCTTATTTTACATGCATGTAGAGAACTTCTCCCATTGCGATACCCCTAGACTAGTCAATATCATCTCTGTGTCAATCTACAACTAAACAAATGATCAAAATGATTCAACAGATTTCTGTTTTGCTGAACCAAACCAACAATGCATTAGTCTGTTTCTGAATAGTTACAGCTCACAAATATATACTTTCACTTTAAAAAGAAGGATCAGTTATTTCCTAAAACAGCTGGGCACTGTCGTTTTTAGCAATCATTACTCAAACTGGAGAAAATAGAAACATTTTTGAAGATTATGTTCAGCAGCGGTTGATATATATTTGATATTCTAGTGAGTATGGCAAGACTGGGCCTCTATGCGCTATAATATGCTATATCAAATCAGTGTTGGAATTTGGCCTTTTCATGGGTTTTGTTGATAGTAAGAAAGAATTTAGATTTTCCAACCCAACCTTGTTTCCTTATAATTACATTTTATTACTACTAGTTTTTTGATAAATACGTTTTGTAGGAAACTTGGTGTTCGGGTTATCTTCACTGGCAACAGTTTCACTAAGTGCTTTGTATGTCATAGGGCAGTGGTTATGGTGGATATTGACAGTTTTATTCCGCCTCTCAGTGATTTTCTGGTCAAAGTGGAGTTGAAAACAATTAGGCCCCATTTACACCTGTTGAAGGACGGTCAACGTTCCCAAAACTTCATATTTTTTACTGTGTAACGCCTGCCCATCTGTTTGTCTCTCACTGTCTTTATGTCTGTCTGTGTTTAAAATTTCCCGTAGTCGTTTCTGAAAGCTAATGTGTGGTTGTATTGTATTGAGCTGTGCTCTTTATGGCAAAGAGGAGATTTTAGGCTCCAAAGCCGGATTATAAGGAAACAGCTATTTAGCGAAAGGTATGGCACAGAGCTGTAACCGTGTGTGTGGAGAGGGATTTAGGTCTGGTGCTTAGTGTTGTAGCAGCAGAATAGGCTGTTGGTACAGTAGCCTAATCTTCACCAATCCCATTAAAACTACCTGCTCTGGAAGAATTACCACGTTTAAGCAGCTCAGCCGGCTTTCAGCACCTCAAGGACTCTTGGAAATGCTTTTTTTCAGGCCAGTTTGGAGAGTTCCCCCCTCTGTGATGCACCAGAGCAGTACTGCCTGCTAAAAGCATTAGCAGTGGTCAGATGACTTTTTTTAAATTTTTGTTTATCAACTGAAGTCATAAGTTAATTCTTTTCAATTGGATATTAATCAAATTCATACATTGCTTTTATCAAAACAAAATTCTTATTACCTATTGTTTAATAGCTCACATGATAAATTTAGCAAAATGTAGGTTTCCACTGCACTAACTAGTACGTCATACTCATCATTCTGCTACTGTTTTTCTTTTTCTACGGAAAAACTGTTCATTCACTATTTTTCTTTCACTGTTAAGGTATCAGTGAAACCGAACAGTTCCTGCAGTCGATTCTTGGTCAAAGCCTACCAAGCAACAGAGAGATTATGCTCTTTGAGCTGCATGAAGGCTTTTATTGTTCTAGATGTATTGTTCTACATCTAGACACAAAGTGTTGAGTTTCATTGTAGCTTAATAGTAATAAAAATGGTGAAGTAGAAGCGATATGAATTAATTAGTGAAAGATGAAAATATTTCTGTTAGAGCAGAGAATGAGTAATGGTATGACTCTTGTTATAATGGAATTAGTGCTGTGTAATATACATTATACTGAATTAATCAAAATAAAAGGTAAACATGCAGAAAATGGACAAGTTTGGGCAAAAATTTTAATTAAAACAGAAGCACATTAAAAATTATGAATGCTTCCGAAATAATATGATAATACACTTATAAAACAGCTAAATAGAAATAGGTCTGTCTCTAATACAAGCCCCTTTTAAACAAAGAAAAAGCCTTTAAAAAAAAAATGTAAACCTAAAAGTTTAATTTAAACGCTGAATCATTAATGTAGGAATGACTTAGCGCACGGAAATGATGTGATGAAGTGATGTAGAAACCTGAAGCCACCAGTGCTTATACACTGCAGAATAGACTTTTTTAAAGAAATGAACAAAATTAGCATATTTATAGATTCTGCAATTTTAATGAGGTAGAAGGGGTAGATGTCTTTTTTAAGAATTTTAATGTGGAAATAACAGATACATATCATAGTTCCGAGCAGATGATTTGTATATATGTCTAAATGGGATCTTCAATGTGTAATTGTTTTCGTCACTTGTACTCAACAGCTACTGGAAAACCAAGCAGCTGTCGCCAAAGCGCCTGAGTACCGGCATCCTGATGTACACGCTGGCGTCCTCCATGTGTGACCAGATCCACCTGTATGGCTTCTGGCCCTTTGGCTGGGACCCTAACACGGGTAAGGAGCTGCCATACCACTACTATGACAAGAAGGGCACCAAGTTCACCACCAAATGGCAGGAGTCCCATCAGCTGCCCGCTGAGTTCAAACTCCTCTACAAGATGCATACAGAGGGACTGCTGAAGCTCACCCTTTCCCACTGTGCTTAGGCCTAAAACTGCAGCAGGCACAACGCTTCATCAAACTCTTCTCAAACGCTTCAACAGGCCAGGGTTGTCAAGACAAGGCAGGCGAGGGAAGGATTCATGTGGTTTTGCCATAAGCAAAACCTTGCCTCTAAGGTTGAGCTGGTGCAATGGCTTCTTAAACTGTCCAAGATCCCTGAGCAAAAGCCCATAATCCTGTGCTCAAGAAGACGAACCACAACAGCTCAAGAATCATGGAGTCTATTCATTTTCTACTGCTCAAGAATCTAAAAAGGACCACAGGTAATTTTTTGGATAAGGTGGCTGCAGCTAGGCAATGTTGCTTTTCCGCAGAATATCACAACTTTGAATAGCTTCATGGTGTTTTTATCACTCATAACTCTCAGCACTACAGCTTCAAATCAGCAGACGGACTGTTTAAAACCAAGGTTGTGTTCAGACTGCATTAAAGAAAGCAGATCCCTTGTTCATTTCTATGAGACTACTGTGTTGGCGCAGTTTGGGTCCTGACACAAGGGGCAATGGCAAAAAAGTTGAACCTGGCACTTTGTTTGCTACAATTCAGTGCGATGTCATTTAGTAACGTACTGTGTGAGCAAATCAGATACGTGCACGTGCACATTGTTCCTAGATTAAATTGTAGAGAAAATTATTGTTGCTGATAACTTTCCAGAGTTGAAAAATCCTGTCATATTATTATAAACCGCCATGCAGTGATTTGGCATCTGATAAGCCTTCAAACTCATGGATCTGTTACTCAAACTGTACTTCCTGGATTGTATTTCATCCTCTCACCAGTACCTAAAGGCAACATGCTACCATCAACACAAGCCCTTGCGTTTCTTTTGCTGGGATCAGACAACACAATACCCTTGAGAGGCCACTGTGTCATATTAGGTGATCATAGTCAAAAAATAGGCCAAAACTTGGCCGAGCTTGCTGTCTTTCATGACTTGCATGACTTCCATAGGTGATCAGTTAGGAGGTTCCATAGACCAACTTCACTGTTCCACCTGATCATGACAACATCATTCCTCTTTCACTTCCTCAATTCTGCAAAAAACAAGGTGGTTTTTGCCTTTTCCGAGTTAACACGTTTAATGGGAGATGGAAACATCATAGTATCCAACATTTAACTCACATGACTGATCGGCGGTTTCAACTCTGACAGTCTCCTCATCTCTACCATGGCAATATTATACACCCATGTACATCCAGTTCCACACTAATCTGATGGTACCTTCCTCCCATTAATACATAAAACAGAAATGTCAAATTTACATCCTATTTGCTGGATTGTTTTTTACCGTTTGAGGTTTCGACGTTCTTTTAATTACCAAATCTTGCCATCTCTTTTGACCTCTTCTTCTGAATTTTACGACTGGAGAATTGGCACCACCTACTGCTTATCTTGATGAACCAACTTCTAATAGTCGCATAACAGTAGTTGAGAAAAAAAAGCATTCAATCGCATTTCCTTTTGCCCCTTTACTTTTGTTAAAATTTGGATGGAAAAAGGCTAGTGATACACTTTAAAACATTCAACATTTTAAATTTAGGCATGCAGCAGTTCTCATAGAATAACTTACAATGAGTGCAAAATTAAGAGAAATAATTAGATTAGTCACGTTATTTATAGTAGTCATAGTTATTTAGTCACAGGTTCATACGAAATCTGGATTTGTTACCCAGGTTTCAGTAAATTTATTCTTAAAGTTCCATTCCCAGAATTTTTGAAAATGCAACATTGACATATTAACACCACAGAAAGTTGTTCCAGCTGATGTGTAAGCAAGCTTTATATTTAGACATCCAGCAGACACAGAGCAACATTATCATTATTTGAGTTGCTGAGTGCTTGTGTCCACCTGATGAATGTAAGTCCAGTATTTACTCTTTTAGTTCCGATTTGGTCTCTACCAACTCTTGAGAAAAATATTGGGCTTGTTAGCTGCTAAACGTTAACTTTCTTCACCAGCAAATCGCAAATTTTATCTGTCTGCCATTTGGTGCTGGGCAAGTAGTGCACAGTGTGTTTATTAGAGCTTGTTTGCTAGAAACAAGGTTGATACAGTGGTACTGTACAGTTTAACAATTTTCCACAGCAACAACTAGCACAACCATAATCTGTAAGGACATAACTCTGAGTCAGGTTGTGTGTCCACAAGACATCTTTAACAGCACAGATAGGAATGTTGTATTTAATACCAGAGATGTCGCAATTGTAGATAAAGGTAGGGCTGTTTGCTGACTTTGTAAAATGCAACTGTACATACCTTAGCACTGCAACAAATCTGAGGTGTTACTGTTAGCTTGTTGCTCAGTGAGATAGTTTTTTTTTTTTTTAAGTGACAATCCACTTTGTAAAGATTACTAATGGTGATTGTAAACCCAGCACTATGCAACTTATCAGGAAGATTCACTTTCAGCCAGTATCCTGCTGTTTCTGTTTTTTATGTTATCGTATTTTCCCTTCCTCAATTTGTGTGTTTTAAAAAAAGATCAGGGTTTGAAAATTGGTGATATATGTTAGAATATAGCTTTATCATCCCATAGTGTTAAGAATCTCCACGTTAACCAGGTGGCTTCATTCACACACACTTATCTTTATTGGTCATGAGTTTGGTTGTGTGTGCGTGTGTCTGTGTGTAACTGTCCGCAGCTAACCTCGCATACTACTCAACCCAGCTCTTGGTAACAAGTAAAAAAAAAAAAAAAACTCATTTTATTGAGTGCATCTGTCTATACTGCCATTGATCGTGTAGGGGGCCACAAGTGATAAACAACTGCTTCAGATTGGAATCTTGTTTCTGCTAGGAACAACGTACGTGGTGGTCAGGTTTGTGTTGGCAGATTATTTTGTTGTTTTGTTGTTGTCATCCGTGGTGTTTTGGAATTGTTCCTGTCCAGATTTGCACACCAAGGTANNACACACAGCCTGCCCTGCACTCCCAGTTCCCCATCCACATGCACCTGACTGAGTTCAGTCTTCTAGTTTATATTTGCTTCTGCTAGAGGGAGTTAGTGAAGGAACATGGAGAGTTTGAAAGATTGTTATCCTGAAGTTCTGGAAGGCAGGT